AATAAAATAAAATAAAATAAAATAAAATAAAATAAAATAAAATAAAATAAAATAAAATAAAAACAACCTAAAACTAATATGATTCATGAAATGGCTAGAATGAGGAATGATTTGGAGCCATAAATCACATGTGTGTGTGTGCCTTTATCCCTTGCAAAGTTTCACAAGCAGGCTTGTGCAATTGACAAAGCCATGTATGAGCCTGCACAGCAGAAGACCTTTCAGTGGAAAATTAAAACTTTCAGGGGCATATACAAGGCAGATAGAGAAGAATATAGTTCCAAAGGGTCTTGGACTTTTGCTTTGAAAATGTTTAATCATTTAACCATTATTATACATTAAATCAGCTTCCCTTTAATTAATCTAAAATAATGTGAAACCAAGCCAGAGAGACCCAGTTATCCAAAGCATAGAAGTCTATCTCATTGTGAGAACCATGCAGTATGTTATTTATAGGAGAGCTTTCTAAAATATACAATATTCTAAAATGATTTCTCTGATTTTTTAAAAAATGGTTGTAGGAAAAGCAAAGTTTTTAAAGAAAATCTGTATTTTGCACTTGATTCTTGATTAAACTGTCAAATACTAAGTATTGTAAATAGATGAAATTATTAAGTAAAATGCTAAGTTATTACCACAAGATTTCAAATAGTGGCTTTTGTTATTAAAGGTCATTTGTCACTTTAAATATTCTGTAAAATTGCAAAGGAATCCCCCCTCCTTTTTTTTCTTTTTTTCTTATCACTACTGAAGACTTTGGGTATACAGACTACACATGTCCAAACACTTCCCTAAAATAATCCCCATGGTGATGCTTGGTTCTCATTGTCAACTCCATGGGATTTAGAATCACCATGGAAACAATGTGTCCAGAGAACTTTGAAGTGAGGTAGAAAGCCCAGTCTTAGATGTTGTTTCTAAATTTCCACAAGCTGGCTTCTCAGACTGTTTAAAGAGAGAGTGAAATCCAAGCTGAGCACAAATGTTCATCTTCCCCCCCCCGACACCCCCCCAGTTCTTGACTGCAAATGCAATGTTAACAGCTGCATTTCCCTCCTCCCACCATAAATGCCTTGCTGTGATGGAGTGTAGTACTGGGAACCGTAAGCCATAGTAGTCCTCTCTTTACTTAAGCTGCTCTTATCAGATATTTTGTTGCAGACATGTGGCAGCTCACCTCTAACTCACTCTTCCTTTTGTTAGCTGTTTTCCAATGTACAAGAGATGAGAAGACCTCAAGATGGGTTGTCGTAGGAACCTAAGCCATGATATTTTCATCAGGAGTACCTTTTTAATGAAACATAAAGAAACGTAGAAGAAACTATATTTTAAAAAGTAAATAATAAGTCTGAAAAAGATGCCTCAGTGGTGAAGTGTTTGTTGTGCTTGAAGAGGACTTGAATTGTGTCACCAGTATCCAAGTTGTGCTGTTTCTGGCCAACTCTCACTTTGAGCTTACAGGTTAGATGTCATCTTCTATACTTCTTGGGCACCTACTCAGTCATATACATAAAAAACATAAACACCTAAATAAATAGTAATAAAGTAAGTAAATAATGAAATAAATCTGTTAAAATAAGTTAATATACAACATGATGAATATAGTATCATACTATTAGGCAGTACTTAGTGTTAGCTTTTAAATATTTCCATCAGATATCATAAATGTACAAATTTAATTAACTTAGGTATTTACATATTTCAAGATAACAGTGATATGCATATATATAATAATTATAATTATATATATATATAATTTTCAATAAAATGTTGATTAAGGAATGAAAGTACACAGTCACGCCCCATGTAAGAGCACTTATATGACTTGATTCCCTTTGGTAATTATCTATGTAATCTCCAGAAGTCGTGTGTTCTTATTGACGATCTTTCTTAATGCTATGTCAAGTTTCTGTAAATACAATGCTAGCTTTGGAGAGTTGATATAACTTGGTGTTCTTGTACTATTCTGCATTATATCTACAACCCATCTCTATTTTTATTTAAATACACATTAATTAAAATAAATTACATTTAGCTCCACAGTCACCAGAGCAGTATATTAGTACTTACTACCCAACCTTCTGTGACTAATGCTGCAATATTGATGTTAAGTATAGAAAATTCTATAGGACAGGGTTTATCTGGCTTTCTTTCCATATGGTCCAACATAACTTGATCTTAAACATAATATAGAAGAAAAAGATAAATATGTATGAGGACTAAGTATAGAGTTGAATCTTTAGACGGCTTGATTCATGCAGGAAGCTTTGGATTCCATATTCAGAACCATATAAACTGGCGAGTTAGCCCAAATCTGTAATCCTAGTCTTCTGGAAAGGTAGAAGGATTAGGAGTTCAAGGTCATCCTTAGCTACATAACAGAGTTCAAGGCCATTGTACTATAAAATGCTACCAATAAACCAAACCAAGAAAATGACAGAAAAAAAATGAAATGAATATAAAGAATCAGTATGAAAAAGCCATTCATGATATTATAAAGATGAAATTGTTAAAGGACTGGCAAAAACAAGTTTGGCCAAGTTTCTACCTTTCTTCAGTGAGATCATTCGGATCTTCTTTACACGAGAAGACTCTTAGGTTACAGGTTCAGGTTCACATCATGAAAGCATGTCAGACAAGAGGTGTAAAACTGAGTTCACTCTTTCCTGTTGTACAGCTTCCTCTCCAGTCTGACAGCGCTGCTTCTCATCCATCGCACAAAGTGCAGCAGGCTGCGACTTATTGACTCTGACAGTAATCCATTGTCCAACGTAAAGCCCATTGGAGCATGCCTATGAAAACACATTCACAAGGATGCTGCAAGCAAAGCACCACCTCATTATCCCAGGTGATTTACCAAGGAATTAATTCTAAGGATTGTTGAGCAGCTGGTGCCCTATGAGTGGTGTGTCACATTTCCTAGGTACACCACTACACCACCAAAGCCCACGGCCCTATGAATTCATACTATTTTATCAATTTCATAGGAGAAACAGACAAACTTAGAGAGATAAAATGACATTCCCAGAGTACAAAAGTTCAAAGCACCTGATGTAGAAACACGTTAATCCATGTTGGGGTGACTTGAAATCCCATTGTCCAACTAGACGTTTCTATGAGTAATTTCCAGTGAAGACCGAGCCAAGGGAGATGTCCATTCACATCTAACTGTTACATGACTGTGTATACTTGTGTGTGTGTGTGTGAAAGAAAATATTATTTTTCATGGCATTCAGATAAATCAGGTTAAAATTTCATTTTTATGGATAATTTTTAGGAGAATTAATCCATATGCTAAAAAATGTAAGTCAAGGAAGACTAACAAAGTGAAAAATAAGAACATAGTATTTTAATTAAGATGTATTTAGAAGATGTAAAAAGCAAACAAACGAACAGAAAGCCTGTCTCTCATCTTTCATTCTCCCTGCTTCCTTTCTTTCCCTTATTCATACTGAAAAACAAAGATTTGGCTTTTAAGTGTGCAATAATTGTACTACACAATAATATCCCAATATGGTGCTGCATGACTGCAATACCAGGTGTTAAGAGACAAAGACAGAAGAGTTTTTACAATATCATGACCAGCATGGGATACATAGCAAGTTCGAGGCCACTCTTGGCTCCCTAAGAAGACTCCTTCAAAAGTACAACAGCAAAATCAAACAAAACAGAAAGATCTGGTCTGCATTGGAAGGTGAGTATATTTGTTTTGTTTCCACTGCAAAGAAGTCAATGGAAATGTGTATGTGTTGTTTCCAATGCTGTAGAAATCTTGCTTATTTTTAGGAGAGGTAAATTTAGCTACACCTGCTGACAAAAAGATTCCATCTAGTTTGTAAACTAGAGTGTGAATTTAAATAATCCCAAACACCAAACACTGAAAAGCACAGTAAGAAAACAAACAGAACCAACAGCATTATCAAGAAAGGAGGCATGTGGCTTCCTTCAAACAAATCTCAATTCTCCTGAGAGTGCTCCCACTGCATGAAGAGAAACATGACTATTCATTTCAAGTACTTCTACTCTGCCACACTCAGCACTCAGATAATAGGGAGAAGTGAACAGAATTGCAAATATTTTATGCCACATCTCTTACCTGTATAACCTAAAGATCAGGTTCCTCTTATCAAATGAGCAATTTAACATCTACCCGATTGTATCTGGAAACATATAATGAAATAGTTAACACCTGTTAGCACGTATGTTTATGCCTATACCTTAAGTAGACTTATGATCATTCTCAGTATGGAATTTTAAAATTACCCAATGGAAATATGCACAGCTTCCTATTTTAATATGAATATTAATATGAATTCATTCATATTATGTATGCACAGAATGAAATGTTTAACTAAATTGACTCAAGCAGCAAGTGTGATGTGTCTACAGAGGGATGCTCACCTTCTATTGTCACAGACCAAATATGAGTTGTCTGTTAGTAGAAATGCTGGCATTCAGATGACAAAACAAACAATATAAAATGAAAGAAACAACTCATTCTTTTTTTTAATCTATTTTTATACCACTGCAGCTTTCATAAAACACCGAGTATTATGGCTTTCAAGCCATGTGTAGGTCATACATTGGCATAAAGGTGACAGCTGATTTTTTTTTTTTTTGCAGCTGATTAGCAGGGCTTCTTGAGTCCTGAACACAGCTTGTGCTCAGAGAGGGCGAAAGTGAAATTGACTACCAAACACTTTAGTTCTATTTTCCCTATTATCTGTTCATAAGCTTATATTACAACCAATTTTAACACCATACACAGAATACTAAATATTAATTTAAAAGAACTTGAGGGAAATCATATTACAGCTTCATGGTAAATTTAATTTGAAATGCTAAAAGTAATGCTTTCCCTGTACACTGTGTTTGCCTTTTCAGAAACAGGAGCCTTAGAAGAGATTCTTATTTTGATTAAGTGACTCTATAATTGCAGAATACTCTCAGAGTCAGAAAGCAAAACCTCCACACTGCAGGGACTGGGCAAGTCCTTGTTACTTGACAATTTATTTTCCTAGGGTGTGCTAATCATCTTACCCAACAAGCAATTGGATTTATTTAAATATAATCTCCTCGTGCAATAAGGCATCCTTAGAAAAAGCAACAACTCTTAATGTTTTATTCAGTAAAAGAAAGAATCATTGAAAATCAGCTAAAATCCAAGTAATATTTTAGAATATGAGGAAAATATACACTAGCCATTGACAATCTATTTTATTAGTAATTTCAAACCTAGTACTTTGATTTGAGAGTATTGATACATTACTCCTGCTTTCTAGAAAAAAAAAAGGTAGAAAATTCATATATAAAAGAGGGATTCTTAGGTAGCTGGCTCATAACTTGGCTGAGGTTGAAATATAGCATAAAGGATAATCTGTAAGCTGGAGAGAAAGAGTGGCTCTTAGAAGGTGAAAGCTGCAGAATCAGGAGCCTTACTAGCTTTCTCTTTTCTAAGGTTAAAGTACCAGTATCCAAGTTACCCACTGGTGTAAGCCCTAAACTTTGAGGCTTAAAGGACCTGGAGCCTGGTATCTGGTAGCAGAAGCAGGAGCTACCAGAAAATGTGTCCATAAGTCAGAGTTTTCTAGATCTATCTAAGCCCCTCAAATACTTGGCCATGCTTCCCACATGGAGATTATCTGCATCGTTCTTACTTAGTTTGCTGATCAAAATGCTAATTTAATGTAGAAAAAAAACAACAAAGAAAACGTTGATACACCTAGGCTCTACTCTTCACTGATTCTCCAGATTTCCATCAATTCAATCACCAAGAACTGTTAATCAAAATCTTTATTAACCTGTCTCTCCAGTGTGTGCAATGCAGAATTTTATGGATTTTGCTTACTATTTAAAAAGAAGACAGTAGGATAAAAGCAAGCAAGCATTTTAGGATGGCTTTAACATAGTGTGTCTAAATAGACTGGTCAGTTTAGTCACTTCACCATGAATATTACCTCTGACATACATCTTCTTGATAAAAAGTGCTTAAGACTGGCCAGCCCAAGCTCATCTCACCCACACTTAATGCATTATTGAGGGACTTCTGTATTCAACATGATGGTTATTAGAATCTCTCAAATTAATTGCTACTTGGTTAATGATTCTTGTAATTGTGCCCGATTACAATCACTGCAATTTTAGGAATAGCTTCAGTTAGTAGGGAGGCTCAGGTCGTAAAGTCTGCTCTTGAATACATATTGACGACTGCTGTTAACTTTGGTTACTACAGAATAAAGAAT